CTCTCCCTCTCTCTCTCTCTCTCTCTCTCTCTCTCTCTCTCTCTCTGTTTTTTCTCATTTTCTCTCTCTTTAACATTAACTCTGATTCTTTCTCAATCGAGAATTCTTTTGGTAACGAGTATACGGATACATAACATCTTTTTGCCGTTTCCGAGCGCAGAGTCTGTCGCATTGCGAGCTGATCACTGACGAAGGTATCCGCCAGCTGGCTCTGTCGCCATGTGCGGCGGAACACCTAGCCGTCTTGGAGCTGGACAACTGCCCGCTCATCACGGACGCCAGCCTGGATCACCTGCTGCAGGCCTGCCACAATCTTGAGCGTATCGAGCTTTACGACTGCCAACTGATTACCAGAGCTGGCATACGTAGACTCAGAGTACTGTCCCGTTTCTTCATTACCGTTTCGTCCTCGCGGCGCGCTCGCAGTGCATGATCCGTGCGACCGCCTCCGTGCCTACGCGCGGAAAAGCGTTTTTCCGTGTAGCGTTACGCTCAAGAGATGCTCATTTGCGTATCACGCAACGGTTTATGAATTACAAATCGTGAATTACGTTACAATTCGCATTCCCGCGAACAAGTATAATCCTCGCTTAATTACGATAACCGGCGCCGTAGTATAATTAATGCCGCTTTTTCCGTTCGCCGGTGAATCATGCCCTTTAACATACACTACAACGCTTCGTACGATGTGTCATTAGGCTGGCGCGGTGCTTCAACTTGACCTCCTCTCTTTCCGGTTTCTGCGTTTCACCGCATATAAACGATTCGTCGCGAGATCGTGCATCGCCGACGCGATCTGATTCCAGAGTATACCTGTTGATTTGATCTTCACACGCGTCTCTCCTCTCGTCTATCTATCTATCTCTGACAAATAATCGTTTTCTTCTTCTATATTCTAGACCCATCTACCCAACATAAAGGTGCACGCGTATTTCGCACCTGTGACCCCTCCGCCCAGCGCGGGAGCCTCGCGACCACGATACTGTCGGTGCTGCGTCATTCTGTGATTCTGCCTTCAACTAACTCCGAAGTAAATCGTCCGATATACCGACGGGATTAGTGGACTCTTATCGGTGGTCGCCGGCTAACCCGGCGATTGTGGGACCTCTCTTTGGCGGTCACCAGAGAAAAGCGACTCTGGTCGCCGCCCGTCATTGACAGTGAGGAATGGGACTCGTTGTCAATCCCAAATCCTTAAATCGATTCGAGCTCCTCACGCAACGAGTGAAGTACGTCACCATCACCAACACAGCCACTGCTGCTACTACTGCAATTACCACTACGACCGCTGCTGCTACTATCATCATTACTACTCTACTATTACTACTATTCTATCACTACTACTACTTCTACTACTACTACTACCGCTGTTACTACTTACGATTATTTCTATTTGTACTACGTTATCGTGATAGTACGCGCATCGCTGCTATCCCTCGGTTATTACGTGCGGCGAGTAGTTTGCGAAGGAAAGAAATTCTCAGGTTTCCTTAGTGATATTGTTTCTGTGATGATCCTAATTTGGCGTCACGCTTGTCCGCGGTTAAGGCACGACGGCGCGCTTTCTCAGCCTCTATTCACTCGCGCGATACCCGTGTACACGCCGAGCGACGTATATTTGAAAGGCGCGGCTTCTTTCGATTAGAGACGCGCTCTCGCGTGTGGATACGCGCGCCGTGTATTTTAGCTAGCGAGCTCTACGCAAGCAGCATGTTTATCGATTCATGTCGGTCGATAAGCACAAGATACTTATTTTGAGATATGCGTAAATATCTTATAAATATATTAAACTGTGCGCCCGCGCGACGACGGGCGCTACGAGCAGGACTTTAGCAGCGACGGGGGGAGAGTGGCGGCGGGATGGCGAGAGTCCGGTATATAATTACGTGGGGATTGTATCCGAAGAAAATTCACTTCCGCACACACACACATCCCGCGCGGGCGTAGTGAGTGTACGTGCGTATGTGTATGCGCGTGTGTAACCGTAGCAGTTTCTCAACGAACACTGCCTCTAATGCTATTGATAAACGAGAGAAAAGGGAAAAAAGTAAAAAAAAAAGATACGAAGAAAAAAAAAGATAAACACGGTATAGCGACCGCGAATCGAATCTCGTCGTGATATTAGGATATTACTATCGTTTTATCGTGTAGTGGAACGCGAAACGTCAACACGTTATAACGCGAACGTTTCGGTTCGGGAAAAGTAAATATATAAAAAAAAGTTTCTTCTCGGTGTCTGTTTAAAAGGAAAAAAAAACGAAAAAAAGAAAGAAAAAAGTATTAATGATCGCGCATACACGATTTACCGAGCGACACCTACGAATTTCTTTCCTTTCGTAAGAGAATGCGTGTCGCGGAGACTCCTATAATCGCCGCAATTCTCAAGGGCGCACAATTTTCAACGACGGAAATTTCGACGTATCATTGTGATTGTGGACACTCGAGGTAGAAATGAGAGAGAGAGAGAGAGAAAGAAAGAGGAAGAAGATAAGAAAGGGAGAGAAGGAGAAAGAGAGAGACGCTCGAGTAACGTCTTTCAGGAAACTCGCGGTGGAGACTACCGCTGATTGGCGTGTCAGCGGTGGCACGCGAGAAAGATGCATTTTAATATCGATTCGCGGACAGACGGTATTCCGTCCGCGAGTCGTAACCTACGAATACCCACGTACATAACGTAAAAGAAAAAAAAAGTATCACCTTTTCTCCTCGACAGGCTCCGGACATCTTTCCCCTTTTATTTTTCTTTTCTCTTTTATTTCCTTATTTTTTGCGTCTTTTTTTCCTTTTTTTTTAACTTGTCATGGACTAGGAGAGCACAGACTGACAAACGAATCAAAGCGTTAATGTGTTAAAAATCGATTAACTTCGCGCTGGCGGCGCGAGCACGCCGGCGGCTGGTTTTTACTTTTTAAGCCTAGGTTAAAACGTGTATAGCGGCGGTGTAAACGAAGCCACACGCCACGGACGTATCGCGAAGCGGTAATCTGCGATCTCCTGCGATTTACGCGAACTGACCCCGGATACTCCGTGACAGTACAGTGACGATGTGCCCGATGGTGAGAAACAAACTAAAACAAACGAAACGAAAGGGAGACAAAGAAGTTGACATAGAAAGAAAAAGAAAGAAAGAGAGAGAGAGGCAGATGGACTACTAATTCTTGACTCAGCGCGCGTGAAGTCCGACTCGCAAAGAGACCGGCGCGATTTCTCAACCGGATTACGGTATTGTTCGAAGCGCGCGTATGCGGCGCAGACGAGAGCCGACTTGCATGACGACGGTGCCCTCGCAAAAGCGCTGCAAAGACGACGAGCAGCTTGTGTTTAAGAGACACGTTAATATCGACGGCTCATCGAGACGGGAAACGGACATCCCCCCCTCGGGGACTCGACGAACCCCTTGACACATGTGAATGGCGATTTCCCATACGATTTGATTGCGCACAGGGAGGAGATCCCACGGCGCCGGTTTCCTCGAAGTTCTCGCGACACGGAACATTTGGGTTCGAGTCGACAAAGTTTATTTTGAATAAAAGACACTCTACACACATTGGCTATATATATTTTTAGAGGCGTAATCTTGCCAGATTTTTACGGGCAGGCCGAGGGACGCAGTTTGTGGAGGGTGGCCGGTGAAAGACCAAAAAAAAATAATAAAGAGAAACAAAAGCGGAGTGACGAAGGAGAGTAAATGAAACACAGAGGAGATGAGCTGAGACGAGAAGAGGGGAGAGGAGAAACGCCGGAGGCGAGAGAGACAACATTTCCAAGCGGTCCAGTTTCGAAGTGCAATATCCGCTAGCGAGAGACGCACCTCGTTTTCCTTCCTCTGTCTTTGATTCGTGGTATCGCGAACGTGCGAACCCGACTAATACGACGCATGGCGTGTGCCGTTGCATTGAGAAAAGGACAGCGAGGAAGAGAGAGAAAGAGAAAGAAAGAGAAGAGAGAGAGAGAGAGGGGGGAGGGGACGGGGACAGGAAGGAAGAAGTATCGACTGTTAATCCTTGGTAGCGTGTAAGAGACGTACCGCGTATACATATATTGAGCATAGCGTGTCACAGAAAATAACGGATGCGGCAACCTAGATATATACACCAGTAAAAATAAATATATAGATAAGATATGTTTTATACGCTGCATGTCATCCCTAGTGGAATAACGTGATCATTGTAACGTATCGTTCGAAGTCAAGTTAATAATTAAGCAATGTACGTTACTCGCGCACGATGACGTAAGCCGCGGCGGTACACACCGCAGCCCGCGATGCGCGGACGAGGGGGATGTTCCCGCCGCGATACCGTTGCGCGAATCTCAACGCGAGAGAACGAGCGCGTCGCGCGCTCTCTCTCCTCCCTCCCTCCCTCGTAGGAGGGCGTCTCGGCGCGGTCGTTCCTCACCCCGCGCGGATCGCATCGATCGCTCTCCGCGATTCTCTCCGCTCGTCGAAGGGAGAAGGGCGAATCCAAGTTACGCGATCGCGTAACTTCCATCGACGCAGGAAGACTCGACGGGCTCTCGCGCGAGAAACCCCGCGACGGTTTCGCGCGAGAGACGAAGAGATAGGGAGAGAGCGATCGGTCGATCGATCCCGGCCGAGTCGCGCCGCTGTCGCTCGAGCGCGAGCCAAGCTCGAGATACAAAAAGTCAATCGCAGTGCCTGAAATGTAACAAAGCTAATCTGTATCTGAAAAAAAAAAAAAAGAGAAATTGTCGTTGACGCGCGGTTACCGTTCGCCGCGGGACGCGAGCTCTCCCCCGCGCGACAGGTCGTAACAATGTATTGTTTGGCTGAACCTAAGCTTGACTCGGCGCCGGGGCGTCAGCGGACGGGATCCTGGACACGGTGGGAGCTTCGCGGGCGGAAACTCCTCGCAGAGACGTCCTCGTCGCGTCGGTCGTCGTTATTAATGAATTCAGTATCGCCATCAAGCAGTGAATTCGATGGCGATCGTCGTTGCGCGACCAGGACGGCGACGCGAACGAGGACGAGACGCGAGAGAAGAGTCTCGGGAATCCCGGAGACCACGAACGTGCGGAAATTGCTGACGATTTTCAGATCGTGACATCCGTCTGAATATCTGTAAACTGAGGAGGGGAGGGAAGGAGAGTGAAGAGGGGCAGAGTACCATCACCTTTCGATGATCGCCACTTACAGTTTAATCGATTGTAATAATCATCCGCAGTTGTGAGCGTTGAAACGTGTTGTAACGATAATTAAGGGGATAAGAGATCGAAGCGTTGATGCCGAGTGATCGAGCAATTGTCTGGCTGTGTAAGTAGAATAGGAAGAGAAAGAAAGAGAGATAGAGTGAACGAGAGCGAGCGAACGAGAGCGAGAGAGAAACGCGAGCGAGAGTAAAAGGAGTGAAAGGGCGAGAGGGTGTGAAAGAGAGACAAAGATTGAGATATTAATCGAAGTCAGCGAAAGTATTCTGGTACCCGTTGCGTGTTTCGACGGATTGACACCACGGTCAGTCTCGTGATAGCGCGACACAAACCGATTCGTCGTCGTCGGATCGGATCGAATCGGGTCGGGTCGAGTCGGGCGGATCGGCCGTTATTATTGAGAGAGCGTCTTCCGTTTGAGAGACAACGGAGGACTCCGACAACAAAAAAAAAACGAAAGACAAAACAAAGAAACAGCAATGTTCTACGTACAACAACAACATCCCATGGTCTACACGTGTCGGCCTACACGTGCCTCCCGAAACCTCGACAGATCTCGGCTATCGAGAGGACGTCGTCGAAAAACAGATTCGCGTACGAATACTGTAGCTAATTATACTGACACTTCGCTGCTTCGAGAAGCCGCAGTCTACCATGTATATATTTTCATTAATGTATGTATAATAAAATACATATATTCGAGACAATTGTCTTCTCTCATTTTATACATGCCGCATTCTATCTAGGAGAACGAGTGATGGATAGCGCGTTCGGGGGAACTCCGAGATGCCAGGAATCAATACGGAAATTGAAAAGGAGACTTTTGTACCTGTATATCTAGATTAAACCCTCGGTATATCATCGTGGTATTGAATCAATTGGAGGATCAACTTGTTTTATTACAAGAAAACAATCTTTTTGTTTCTTGGAAGACATCTTAAGATAGACCAAAAATCAATTTTTATAAGTATACTGAGAGAAAAGGTATCTAAAAGAAGTTAGCATTTATTTGTAGGCAATAAGCATTTATGCAAATGAAAATTTGTATTATTTAGACGCCTAGAACGGCGGGACCTTCTCTTATCAGTTATTCGACAGCTGATCTGCGACAATCGAATTATGGGGACACGTCATGACACGAGAGCGGGAGAACCCGATCTGCTATTATCAAGCGCATTAACATTAACCGATTGCGAGCGTCGTTAGCTGGTCGCGATCCGGACGAACTTGGTCGGCGCGACTCGACGAGCCTTTCAGTAGAGCTTAATTCCTCGTCTGATACGCCGCTCGTCTCTTCGGCCGTTCCTTCGACTCGCTCGTTCTCTTTTTGACACTAACATTTATCCGTAACAAATGGTCCCGAGCGCTCTTCGTCTCGTCTGGGTCTTTGAGATAGCCGTCACCTTCCGCATAGGTACGATCCGAGTTGGTCTTGCAAAAATTAATCCTGACTCTCTCGCAGCGGGAGATGTTCCATTGCGCGCGCGCACAGCGACATAGAGATTATTTTTGCGAGTGCGAAATTTCATTGCCCTCACGTGATCGTAGTCGGCGATATTACGTGACTTATGACGCGGTCATTTTAGGACACGATCAACAAGTGCCACCGATCTTGCTCGCGAATTTCATAAGTATGAAAAAAGGAAAGAGAAATCTCTCGTTTTACAAGACCATCAATTCTGTAATCTTGATGTAAAAATGTGTAGGTTTTGATTCTTTTCCCTTTTTTACTATTTGATACATTAGGTCAGCCAAAAAGTTCGCTTCTTTTTCCAACGGATGACGTCACACAGGTGTAGTAAAAGCAACAATTCTGATAACGTCCTGCTGTCGGAACGTTGACGAATAGTCATAAACGTCTACTTTGTTGGTGAATAATTTATTTCGATTTAATTTTATTCATGTCTATATATAATAATTCATTTAGGAAAAATCACATATGCGATGGAAATAAATTGTTCTCAATTTATCATCCTTCGTTCTTGAATTATTTTTTAATTTGTTTCCACTATTAAATTCTCGCAATATTTTCACGTTTAAATTGTGAATATTTTCACAATTTAATTCATTAAAAAATGGAAACGAATTTTTCGGCTGCAATCTCGGAAATTCACAAATTTGACACCGCATATTCGGCGATAAGAGTCCGCGTTGAAAGAAACAGTTATTCCAATTGAAAGTTGACGATACCCTTCGAAGAGATCTCGAAACGGTTGAGGGGATTGCCGAAAGCCGTCGTATCGGAGGGACTCGAGCGTCTTAAAGAACGGGATAATCGCGATGGACGTTTTCAATAGGAGTCCCCAGCAACCGAATCGTGGATCATTTCACGTACGCTCCGAGGAGCGGTAATGAAACGGAAAATGGAAACGAAGACGTTCAATGGGAGTTCCTCGTGATCGGCAGGCGAGTGTCCTGGAACGAGGCGCAGGCAATCTGTCCCATTTACGAACATCTAAATCCGCTTACGGCTTCCGACGAGGAAATGGGACACGACGCCCCGCCGGATCCTCTAACGCGCGAAGCGGAAACGGATACCGGAAGCACGTTGGCCGTGCTGGATGTCGACACGAAGGATTGGCTCGCGCGAATGGTGTCCGAGTCGAACTACCGTGAGCTTCATTTTTAGTTTTATTCCTACTTCTCTCTGTCTCTCACAAGCGTGAACATTCGTCGAGATTTTACATTCCCCGGAAAATCACTGATTTTTTTTATTTATTATTATAATAACGATTTTAGCAACTTTATAATTTCAACTTTTTACATGTAGCCTCGAGAGAATTTTTCTAAAATCAAAAAGAAAATATTCCAAGCATTGAGGAATCTCGTCTTTTTCTACAGTATTTGTACAATACTCTCTTGTTCTTAATAAATATTTAAATAGATATTTCTTCTATAATAGAAATATTTTTCTTCTAACAAGAATTCTCTAATTATTCGTCTCGATTTGTATTTATTTCATATAAGAAATATCGGTTTAAATTGCCGAATGACATTCTATGAATACAAAATCTGTGTAGTTGGTTATACTTTTAATTAAAGATTGCAAATATGTTACGGTATTCTGCTATATGTAGAGCTTTCTGCTTCAAGTAAACATATTCTTGATTCAAAAGGGAAAAAGTTGGAATAATATTAGTAGATTTCTGATTAATAGTTTACTTTATTTAAAATGTAATGCTCTTTTCTTAAAAGATTTTTACTTACAATATAGGATTATTGGAAAGAATACTTGTAATTAGAAATTTTCTTTTCCTTTTTTTTGAAGAGGGAACATTAGAATATTTTCCTTTTGATTTTAGGAGAATTCTCTTGAGGCTATCTATAAGAGAATCTACTAATAATAAGATTATATTTTAAAACCAAAAGAAAGAAGAACTTTAAAGATAATAATCAATATTAAATAAGAGCAAGAAAAGAGTTCAGACACAGATGTAGTACAATAAAATCAAATTATATTGAAACCTCTACAAACCGGAATGAAACCTTGTTTATTGGATAATCTCAAGAAACCAAATGTTTTGTTTCATATATGAACCCTCTTCAGTGGTAATCGCGAAGTACAAAATTAACGTCTTATATGTAACTTCACAATGGGGCTTATTCTGTCATTCCTCTAGCTCTTGCTATGTTATCTTTGATGTTTTTATATTCTTTGACAACTTTTTGACTCTATAAGACGTTAATTTTGTGCTTTGCGATTACTGAAGAGGATTCATACATGGACCGAAACATTTGGTTTCTAGAGATTATCTAATAAACAAGGTTTCTCCCCGATTTGGAAAGGTTTCACCAATATAATTTGGTTTTATTGCACTACAATATCTGTGCTTGATTCTTTTCTTGCCCTGACTTAATATTGATTATATTTTAGTTACACATATGTAACGCATTGAGAACCTAGCATTATATTTAATTATTAATTCATAAAATGACTATTTTACATATGTATGTGAATGATAATTTCTCTTTCTGCACAAACAAATCAAGTCTGTTTTACACAATTACCTAAAAAATATAGAGATTATATAATACAGAGAAATATAGAGATGGCTTCCCAAATGAGCCATGATAGCGAACGTGTTAAACATTTTTTATTTATAAATATTTATTATACGCTGAAATTTAATAAATACATAGGAGCTTTTTATGAGTTCTTAATTCAACAAAAAATTTCTTCATTGTTTCACGTTGCACTTTATACGTCGCGAATCGCTTAGGATACGACGGCCTCTGGATAGGAGGACGGAGGAAAGACTCCGCCAGCGCCTGGAGCTGGATCGATACGCGTAAAGGAGGGGAGACGTTGATACTGGACTCGCTGATGATCATGGACCACTCTGCGTGGTACATCGGGGATGATCACAGCAGCGGCGAGAAGAATTGTCTCATGTTCGACAGATTGGGCCACGACTCGCCCCTTCTCGTTCCGGAGGATTGCCGGCATCGGAAGCCCTTCGTCTGCATGAGAGCTAGTGAGGAGAACGCAGACGAAGAGGAGAAGGAGGAGAAGAAGAAAGAAAGAGAGAAAAAGAGGAGAGAGCAATTCGCTAAATGCGAGAACGATTCACCTCATGCAGAGTCGATCGGTGGCTTTTTTATTAGAAGCAATCGTAAATCGTCGCGACGTTTGTTGCCGCGCTCGTCGCTGTATCCGTGATAATTTCTTTACGGTATAACGTATGGTAATCTGCTGTTTCTATCGGGAGTCACGCAAAGGCGGGCATAGCTTGCACCTTGTCTCTTTCTCTCTCCTCTCCCTCCTCTCTCTCTCTCTCTCTCTCTCTTTCCCTCTCCCTTCCTTTCTTTATCGCGAGCGTTATATCGTCTCCTCTTTCGCGATTTAATGAAGTGCGACTTTTTCGAGCACGTGCGCTACTCGTGCGTCGCGTGCATGTTATTTATTTTGTGAGTAAAAACGTCGAGTAGGAAGAATTACGACGGTCGTTTCAGTAAACTGTCTAGAGGGTGGTTTTATGAATAACAATCGCGGTCGAAAAAATTTTCCTCGAGGTATGGCACAATTTGAAAGATTCCCTTTGTCGACGGACTTAAGAAGTCGGTACTTACAGTCCGTCATTATTTGATAAATAATTGTGACTTTATAAGTCTCCAATTATTCGTCTCAATCTGTATCTATTTCATGTAAGAAATGTCAGTTCAAACGGCTGAATAACATTCTATGAATATATAAATACAAATCTACAGTTAATTATACATTCAATTAAAGATTGCAAATATATTATGGCTGTAAGTGTCGACTTCACTGTGTTATTAAGTCTCCGAGAGGAATGAAATATTTTGCGTATTTAAAGGAAAAAGGGAGGCGAAGGAGAAGATTGTCGAAGGCAGCAGCGTCTTTGCGGACGGTCAGCGATACACACTGTATCAAATCCTCGATGAAGATGAGGCTGAAGAGGATCTCCGAACGGAGGGAGTGCGAAAAGTCGACGGAGGTGGCATCGCATGGAGGGACGCGAGATTGGAGTGTAAGAAGAGGAAGAAGCAACTCGCTATGATTTTCACGAACGAGGCAGCCATCGTCGTGGCGAACGCAATGCTGAAGAGCAGGCCATGTAATAATAATAAGACGTTATTCGTAATTCATACACGTCAGACAAGATTGTCATGCTTGCTCGATAAGTCGCGAGAAAAACGAAAAAAATAGAGAACCACAAATTTAAACAGTAATTTCGGGAATTAGAATTTTTATTATCAAACATCATTTTGCGATATTCAAAATTTTTAATAATTTTTTAATGAAATTGTAGCTATTTGTGAGTAGATTAAATATATATATCAAAGTGATACGCCTCATCATTTATATATCTTTTTACTTATATATCTTTAATCTATTTCTTATCTATCTCTTATCTCAGTAGCTACAATTTTATCAAAAAATAATTTAAGATTTCGAATATCACAAAGCTGAAAGCTTATGCAAGTTTGACCGTCTCCTTTGTCGACGAATTATTCCGTAGTATTAATTAGAATTATAGAAATTATATGTTTTATTCTTCGAAAAATAAAATTTGGGGAGGGAGTTGAGATTATTTATGGCTTCTTCATTGTGAAGTAGCTCCTCGGCTACAGAATACTTTCGCGGGATTCGAAGAATCTCATTTTTCGCCATCGACAGCGATAGAGAGCGTGTGGCTAGACGGTCGCAGCGTGGACGGTACGGATTGGACGTGGACTTCGTCGGGATTCGCGTTGTCGTCGAAAAAGTCGAACGTCACCTCGTATCCGCCTTGGTCGAACGGTCATCCTGCGCCACCGTCGGAAAACGACTCATATCGGAGGGGAAGATGTCTGATCCTCGACAGGCATCTCTGCGCGAAGCACACAACTCCGGCCTTCCTCGACTTGGATTGCGAGAAGAAGCGGCCTTTTGTTTGCCAGGACGGTAAATCTTAAATGTATCCATTCGTAATGAGTTGTCGCTCGAGAGTTTCAGCTCGAGCTGTTACGAAGAAACGTTTGTATCAGCGAGATTTTTGAATGTAACGTTTTTTGTTTTGTGAATTCAGCGATGCCAGAACGCAGGATGATGGAAAACGCAGCAAGAAGCGTGTTATTGAACGATAAGAGATTAATATTTTCATTCGCCAGGATGACGTGGAAGCAGGGAGAAGCTTACTGTCGGAAAAGATCCGGCCGTGTAGCCAGCATACTAGACGCGAAGACTTTAACTGCTGTATTAGAGAAAATGACAGAATTAGGTATGTGTTTTTTCTTGTGAGAATAAAACGTATATATCAAAATTTATAAAGACTCGCAGTCTAATATCTGTAGCCCTCTTAAGCCATCCAAAATATCTGAAAAATAAATCTCATACTTATTTTTCTTTAATTATATATACGTTAATTATATTATACGTTGTATTGGGTTAGTCAAAAAGTTTTGTTCAATTTTCGGGTGCCATCAGGACCAAAACTTTGACGGAGAGTCATAGACAACGGACATTACTCGGTTGAATGAATTATTTCTTCCCAATGAATGCAATAAAATTAACTCAAAAGTCGAGCTAAACTGATTAGTTAATATTACATATATCGTATTATTTATATTATTTATATTATATACATCATATTTACATCATTTGTTATAGTAACATTATTATTATTATTGTAACATATTGTAAAAGGTTATAATTATTAATTATAATTTCCTATAACAATTGCAACGATATAATTATCTTTTACTTTGTAATCACTTGTCGATTCGTCACACAAGATCAAATATCGTAACACAAGACGTTAATTGCTATCGATGAAACATTAAATACTTTTAATCATGCGCTTCAAATGAATTCAGCGTTAGATCACACCTGGATAGGCGGTCACACGGTCTTGTCCGAGGACGGTTGGAGATGGGTGGACGAGAACGGCGAAGTCTTGTCGAAGAACGCGATCAGCACCGGCACTTCCTGGTGTTTTGACGAGGATGACGGTTCCTGGCCTTACGCCGACCGCGAGATTTGTTTGAATTTGGATCGTGAGGGTCATGACATGGCTCTGTTTTACGGGCTGCCCTGCAATACGACCAGTCAGTATGTTCTTTGTAATTTACTCGCGCTTGAAAGCACGCAGTCAGTATCCGCGACGATAAATGAGACGACGACGACAACAACGAATGAGATCGAGGTCGAAAAAAGCATCGGTAAGATACTTACTACCTTCTATATCGAAATACATGCGGCGATTTCTGCTGAGATACTCGCATGACGTGGAGAAAAACTGTCGGGTGAAATCTGTAAATTAAAATGTATCGTGTATTGCAATTGTAGATGTTCAAGAGCAAGCTACGGATCTAGCAGGAAGAATACGTAAATTGGCAAAGGACGAGCGATCCGGTCTGCTCTTCGTTATGGACGACAGCCTGAGCGTGCTGAACGCGTGGTTTGCCGAGGAGATGAAGCTAGCCGCCACCGTTATTCGGCGATATTTTCCGTAGGTATTTTTTGGCTATAAAAACAGACAGTCCAGCAAATACAAACTAACGATAACATTAACAATCAATGTTACAATTTCTCACTCAACAATGTAAGTGCAATATAATGCGTGTGTTATGTAACAGTTACGTGGTTTACTGGGAAATTATAACATTGACGTAATGTTACCATTAGTTGGTGTTTGCTAGGCAAGTTGATATTAATCAATAGAAATTTAATTTTGTAAAGTCAAACGATTTCCCAATTTGGAGAAATCAATTAAAATTCTTTCTTTTATATTACTACTTATTACGGCTTATTACGGCTACTCACCGCGGAACTCTTGATTTATAACATCAGAAGCGAGGAAATGTAGTGAAAATTTTTGCAAAGTACGTCGAAATAAAAAGATATATAAAAGAAAATAGTATTTTCGACTAAATATATCTTTAAGATACTCTGGATACTTTCTTTCCAATCAATAAAACAATCAATACGTAACTGTAAAATTAATGTGACTAACAACCTTCCCTTTTAATTTATTTTTTCATTATTTCGTCACATTAATTTTACGATAATTTATTGATCGTTACCGTAAGAGGGAATTGTTTGGAGTATTTTAGAGATATGTTTAATTGATTGCAAGTGTCTTTTTTAAATGTATTTTTTCATTGCGATATATTTTGCAAGAATTTTGGGCATGCATTTCCTCGTTTCTGACGCTACAAATCAAAATCATCGCGGTGAGTAGCTAGAAGCCTTTTAAACACTTATTAAATAAATTGAATTATTCCACAGGTTGTCGCGCGATCATCCGATGGGCTTGATCACTTTCTCGGAAAACACAATGGTAGCCCTCACCTTGAATCAGACGAATACTTGCAATGTTCTCTCGACGTTATCTAAGGACATGCTCGCGAATCGCGCGACTCGCATTAGCGAGGATCTCGATGGTGTAGCCGGAAAAACTACGGATTTGATTAACGCGGCCTTCGTGTCGGCGAACGTCGTTCGCGCTTCAGGCATGCAACGAGTCATCGTAGGTAAGCTATCATTCATATCTTATAGATTTTTCTTAGTCTATACTCGGAAATATTGTTATGCGGAATAGCATAGAAGTTTCAAACTGCACGAGTTATATATCGATATAGTTATACTATACATCGCCCGTCATATTTAAATATAATATATATATATTTTTTTTAATTTTTATTTTATATTTTTCTGTTAATGTGTATTATGTCATTATATTATGTTTTATTCTGTTATGTGTTATATACTTCGCCAACAGTTTTCGTGACGGACGGAGAACACATCGCCGAAGAAAAGGATAAAGAGAATCTGCGAGCCGCCGTGGAAAAGTTGCAAAATCTGCGAAACGACAGCCACGAAGTATTCGCAATTGTTATCAGCCAAGGCCAGAAACACGCAGCGGACTATAATGTCATTGAACATCTGTTTTCCACATCTTTGAAGGGAGAACGGAATCTTTACTTCGTTGAAGATTACAATGGATTAGCACAAATGAATGTTGCGCTGAATTCAACAGGCAAAGAGGATTATGCCGTGAAATGTAAGTTATGCCATGTATACATTTAATTTGCATGTTTATAGCGTCTAAAAAGGAATTAGAAATATAATGTGTATTTTAAATGGATAAATACATAATTTTCTTTTTGTTCTCCAGGCGGAGAAATTCAGTGGACTATCCCAAAGGATAACGAACTGTTGGCTCATCTACTACTATCGAAGAAGTAGTCACGTTCCATGTAGTTATAAATATTTGAACTTTAGAATATACCCAAAGTAATTATTACGGTATTATTATATTCGGAGTATATATTCGTCTTAAAGCTGTAAAATTTATACATAAGGTAGTATAGAATTAAAAGAATAAAATCAAATTTCACTTATCTCGAAATAAAGTTGACGTTTAGATTATTTTATAGTATTTATAAGTGATTATTTCACACAAATATAGTGATATTTATATGACATAATGCTTTATATAAATGCAATCATGTCATATATTTGGATGATTAACACATTAAACGTCGGTTTATTGATGACCGACAAAATGTAAATAAGTTAATGATATCATACGATGTAAAACAAAAATTAAATGGAATGAATTCGAGCCTTAATATATTAAGAGTCTGCGGAAGTCATAGACCGGTATTCATAGTCGAATCTTATTTCAAAACCGCCTTAAGTAATGTCTTAAGATGCGAATACAGCTCGGTGATTGATTCATGACATCTTAAAACAATACTTAAGATGAGATCTTAAATATGAGATCCCAGATAGCACAGAGACTTAAAAAAGAATTCAAAAAGAATTCAGTCATATGTCATGAATTCTGAATTTATTGTCAGATGTAAAAAGAATTCTTCAGAGTTCAGTGAAAATAATTCTTTTTGCACCTAAAAATGAGCTCAGATTGGTGACATATAACTGAATTCTTTTTTAATTCTCTATGTTATCTGGGATCGGACTATGAATACCGGCTATAGTGTAGAGTTCTTGTGAAAAGCCACAAGATAGGCAAAAGCATTCAACATCTCTTGGATGTATAAAATTAAAAATGCTTTTACCGAGTGAAAGTACAAACGTTAATTAATGGTTAATGTTATCCAACAACATAAAATAAAAGTTGTTTACCGACCGTCGGAAAATTGGAAAACATTTTCACGATTTATAAATAAAACTTTTTATGATCTCATGCAACCGTGTAATGTAAAACATTCATTCCCAGCCAGAAATGATTCGTCGATCGACGTCGAAACGATGTCGAATCGTCGTCGATTTCACAATTTCGATGTCGATTCGACATCGTTTCGACATCCATCGACGAATCATTTCTCGCTGGGTTAAGGGGATGCTGAAGCTAAAAACTTTACCGACAGAACACTGACATTTTTCCGCAGTTTACGTCGTATTGGTTACACAGAATTACAAATGCTTTTACGCAATAAAAGTACGTACAATAATAAATAGGAGTATTGCTCAATATGTGTCGAAAACGAACAAAAAATTTTTAATGTAAAGTCTCAAGCTATCAGTTAGCGTAATATTTGTCTAATCCTAAAATTCCGCAGCTTGTATATACCAAAAGTGTGGATGCTCCAAACAGAAAAATTTTGAAAAAGATTGCTCTACCTTCGCATCTGCATTTGTAAGCTTAAAAATGTCGAAAAAGTTTGCAGAAAGATTTCTACACATATATGGTTAGGTTTTCCGTTGAATATGGTAAAACAAAACAACATACATTTATATAAATTCTGTATATACAAGAAATACGAAAAAGATAGCGTGATTAGTTAGTAACGATCGTCTCTGCATTATCGACGTTATTCGAATTTGTTATCGACTCCAGCATCCCCTTAATGTTTGTATTTTTATCCTGTAGAAATACTTTTAATTTGATGCACTCAATTATAAGAAAAATAAAGAAGTTGCGAAATTTAAACGTTTAAGATAGTGCTGGGTCTCGTGATTTACATAGTTTCTTTTTTCTAATTAGATGAATAATAGAAATTTCCAGCCAATTTTAGTTAAAATTATACAATCAATCGATATAGCCAAGATATGAAACATTCTAAATTTTTTAAGCTGATATTCGAACTAAAATCTACGCTAAATTAAAGCGGGGTCTACAAGAATTTAAACCATAAAACTTAAATTTTAAGCCGTAAGAAATTGACCAATCACTCAATTGTTTTTCTTATATTTGATGGTGATTGGTCAATTTCTTAGAGCTCAGGCTTAAGGCTGAGTTCCTACTTAGCGCGTCACGTTATTCGTCGCGTCACGAGTTAAACCAATCAAGTCGTCCCATTTTATTATCGTCGTAAAGTTACGCAATAAAATGGAATGATTTGATTGGTTTAATTCGTGACGCGACGACAACGCGACGTGTGACGCGCTAAGTGGGAACTCAGCTGATGGCTGTTCTTCATTCATTGGAGTATTCTTTTAGTTGAACTAGAAGTTCTGACCTAACCGCCATTACAATTAGATGCGTCCAAACAAGTTCGGACCTGATATTTTTTTAGAACTTGTACTTCGGTACCTTGATAGAAAGGGCTATTTGAGAAAGCCTGCAAGTCAAGTAAAATATAGTGAAGAAGAAAAAGAGTATTCTTTTAAACTTTTGATAGATTGTACCAATCAGAGACAATATAAATATAATATTGTTATAATAATATAATAATATAAATTAACATCAGCTGTTCATAACAACGATTACATTTAAAGTTGTGATCTACAAAAGTATAAAAAGAATAAATAAAAATGCTTGAGACTGACGACAAAACTCCGTTAAATGTGCCTTATAAAACGATGTCTACCGAAGAGGTTTTTGAACAGGTTGGAATTGTTATAAATTTTGTCTTATTTAAGAAGCAGAAATAATATTACATCGTATTTCTAAATCATACTTTGCTCATTGTGTTACGTGTTTAGTATATTTAACCAAATGTGTGAATCTTATAATTGTTGTGAACAGTTTCATCGCAAACTGTTTGTTGACTTTTATCGGTAAATATAACTGGTATATAACTGGCAATATTTTGTCAGTTTGAAGATGAAGAGGCCGAAATTAATCTAGGCGGTACTCTACCTGGTGGGAGAAAGCGTCTCTTCTCCAAGGAACTACGCTGTATGATGTATGGTTTCGGTGATGACCAGAATCCTTACACAGAAAGTGTTGACCTGCTGGAAGATTTGGTTATTGAGTACATAACTGAGATGACACACAGAGCTATGGAGATTGGACGTACGGGACGAGTTCAGGTGGAAGATATAGTATTTTTAGGTAACTTAAGTGATAAATTTCCAAGTGAATACACAAATGATAGATATCTAAATAAATAAGTAAATTACAGTTAGCATAAAAATGTGAGTATGTCTGCATATCTAACTATGGAAATTCTTATTGTTTTGATCTTCAATTTAAACTTTCAACATACATATATATGTATACATATGTATACATATGTATACATATGTTATCTTATGAAAACTTAAATATTCATATTTAAAGACCCCAAAACAGTAAGAATGTCCAAAATTAGATATGTCTCCAGACATTAATACTTTTCCCTTGCTGTATCCATTGTAAATATAATGGATACTAAAATAGATATATGAATAATTTCTAGTTTAGTTAATAAGTTATTTATAATCTTACAACTTACTCTCTTATGTTTTCACAGTGAGGAAGGATGCCAGAAAATATGCTAGAGTAAAAGACTTATTGACAATGAATGAAGAACTCAAGAAAGCAAGAAAAGCTTTTGATGAAGTTAAATATGCAGGTACTGTCAAAGAGTAGATATAGAATTGCATCGTTATGTTATGGTCATTGTCGACCGCAAAATGTTCTTGAGTTTATATTAATACAACTATAATAATCTATTTAATCTTAAATCTTGAGTTCCTCCGCGTTTACAATTCTTTAATTATCTTTTACTTGTTAAACATCTCTTTTGTATTAAAAGCAGCTCGCAAGAGTTAATCCTAATGCATTTTGCTTAGTGTATATAATCGATATGCACGTATTTTGTTTTTTTTATTAAAGATCAAAGAATTTGATTATGTTTGCTGTTGCATTTGTCGCCGATGATGCTTTATATTATAATCATATACAACTGCTTGCAAAACAAGAACTATTGTATTCGCCTTGGATTTGCGGCATTCTTCTTAAAGCAAGTTTTTCTACCTAGTTTCTAGCAAAAAGGAAATATAGAGAGAGTGAAAGAGAGAAAAGTTACTTTCAAAAGTGGCAAATAGCTGGATACATATTATTTAGTCATTTCAAATATATATTGTTTGATAAAGATGGAATTTGAAATTTTAGCAAATGTTTTGTCTCTTTAATCATGATCAAAAGAAGCGACAGGTTTTTGTGATTAGCTGATAAAGTGCAACTTTATATTATATACTTTTTTATCTATATATATATATATATATATATATATATATATATATATATAT